TGCTTCATTGATTCAAGATTGATCATGGTTGCTTCATTGATTCAAGGTCCATCATGGTTGCTTCAACGCTCTGAGGGAGTTGCTCCATTGATTTGAAGTTGTTCATGGTTGCTTCATTGCCCCAAGGTAGTTGCTTCATTGATTTTAGGGAGTTGCTTCATCCATTCAAGGTTGAGGAAGGCACTCTCAATAGGGTGCATTGATCAAAGCCAGAGACCTGGTATTCAATGCCTATCAAGCAGCGAGTGTGCTTTGAACCTCCCAGGTTCAACCTCACCCTGCAGAACCATGTGTTTCCGCCAATGCTCTTGCAAATGCCTGCAAAAATGTCGGCAATCTCCCCCTGAGGTCGTAATGCGGTGAAGGCAACCCCCTCTATGATTTGTGCACACACCTCAAATGCCACACAACATACCTTCAACTCATTGGTGAGGAATTCGTTGATATCACGCAGGTTGAGGCGCTGGATGTCCAAGTCCTCCCCAAGCTTGATGTTTTCCAACTGCAATCGGTCTCCATTTGCCTGGTACCTTCGGGAGAAAAGTAGCAAAGGTGAGGTTGCTCCAAAAGGGCAAGAAAAAAAGAGAAAGCAGCAAAGGTGAGCACAGAGTAGGAAAACGTTCCTTCGTCCATCTTTTTCATCAACAAAAACGCACTGGTTTTGATATTGGTGTTGTTTTTGAAAAGGGCAATGACTGACATGGGCTCAGCATTATGGTGGGGCTGTTGAGCTGCCAGCAGCGAAAGCAGGACCTTGCCCTTGGCAACATGTTGGCCTCTCCCAAGTACTACAATACCTGTACATGGGCATATGCCTCTTTGTGTGATGAAGATTGAATGATAACAGGTCGCTACCAAAAACTTGTGCTTTTGTGACACCGTAAGGCTCAGGCCAGCACACCCAAGGTAGTGCTTGCTTGGCTCTCACAGGAAATCCTTGGCTTCCCGCTACCATGTTAATCGAGAGTTTCTGCATTCCATAGATCCATCGCGCATCACAAAAGCCCTGTGCAATTGCACAAGTACCACACCAAATGCGACACGTATACACATATACTATTTGCACACTGTTTGTTTTCAATCTTAAGGAATTTAACAATAGCATTAGTGCAAGTAAAGCCGGAAAACGATCCCAGTTGCCAGAAAGCAGCTCAGAATCAAAAAGGCCAAACAGTTGGTGCCAATAGCATGATCTTCAAATAAGCTTGTACACGTAAAGCCTGTCTGTCATGCCAGGCGCCAAGAAGCAGCCAAGAACCAGTGAGGCCAAACGCTTAGCAAACTTCTCATAGTACGATTATTGATAGCATGATTTTAAATGCTTGGCCAACTGGCTGGGAACACCTTATCTCGACTCCCCATTCCACAGACTTGCCAGCAGACCTCATGGGGCGGGGAGAACCTTTTCCCGCCTCCCCCTTGCCTGACTTGCCAGCGGCACTCGAGCACTGCACACGTGCCTAGCTCATGCAGCTCCCTGCTTGGATATGCAATTTCACCCCCAGTTTTGGTGGCGTCCCCAACAAGTCCAACTCAAACGGGCATACCTCAAGGTTCAGCATTTACAAATTTATAATCGCACTGACAAGCTTGTTGAGAAGATGCCTTGCCATCAAGCATGCATTCCAAAACGCACATGACAGGCGTAATGCAAGGCAGAATTGTAGAAAAAGCTCCAGTAGCAGCTTGTTGCTCTAAGATCATTAAGTATTACTATCAAGTAATACTAAGTAATAGTCTGTATGTTTGTTGGCAAACATGACATGCACAACCTTCAGAGTGACTGCACAGCTCACCTGAAAATTTTCAGGCTTATGAATATTTCCTTGAGACAAGCATGCGGAATGCTCACTGTGTGGGTCATGGGTGAAGTACTCTCAGCATGAAGACCTAGCAGGCTGCGGAAGAAAGCTATCTGCGTTTTGTCAGCAATCCTCAAGGGCCTCGCTCTTCCCGTACAGCCCCTCTTTCTTTACAATCTGGGTTTTAAACTCTTATCTTATCCTCAGTAAAAACAAGAGTAGATGCTTACGCGATCACACTGTGTGACTAGATAGCCTCAGTTGACATGTTTTAGGTTATGGCGAAGGCTTTGTCACGTTCATAATCATTAATTTGCATCTGTCCTTTGATGTCAGCCTCATGCTCTGCGCGTTAAATTTTGCCCATTCTAATGTTCGCAAATGCTCTTTTGCGCATCCCCTGCACAAATTCCATCAGGATGGATCATGGTGGCAGAAAAGGTCCCCCCTCGCCTTGACCATGACCTGGCAATCCTTTTATCACATTCTCAAGCCAATCTAAATGCATTTCCATCTACTAATACATGTGAGTATGTATGTATATTTAAAGGATATGTCAGCCAAGTATCCCAAGGCTAATTTTTAGGGGTTTCTGCTAGAGCAAAATTAGCATGTGCGTGCTTCAATCGAGGCAGTAATTGAAGAGACACCAACCTGCCGAGCTTGCTCTTCATGTACGCAATGACCAGCTCCTTCTCCATGAGCTCCCTCTCACTCCCGTCATCCTGCTTGGCCGATTCATCCCCTGGCGAGCCTCTGGAGGTCTTATTGGGTGATTTGGGTGGCATGGCTCCGTAGCACACCTCTCAGGCCGCAGGGAGTATGCCTGGCGCACAGATGTTGAGCCTCTCTTGAAAATAAAGCAGCGGATACACATCATGCGTGACATGTGTGCAGCTGCCTGTCTGCCATTGTCGTCTAAAGAACTGTGCATGCATCTCATGATTTTGTGTCAATGTGCAAGCTCAAGTTAGACAATGCATCATATTGAGTGTCAACGTGCATGCTGAAATCAGAGAATGCAACATATTGACTTTGAGTGTCAATGTGCATACCTTAGACAAGCTGTCACAAAGTTTCAGCAGTCAGCCTTTTTATCCCCATGAGTCACCGGTGTGTACAATTTTGCTCACAATCTATAAGGAGCCAAACTGAGGTCATTCACAGGGGAGCCTGATCTCTGCCATTTCCAGTTTGCTTGATTTTATGTAATGTGTTTGAAATGAGATGGAGGAATTGAAGACAAATTGCAAGCTGGTCTCCCCAATTTAACGTCTGAATGGCATAGGGTTAAAATGGAAATACAGGCAAGAATTAAATTGATTAAAATTGCAGTGTAACACGTGAGCATAAAAAGTAGTCCCAATGACCAGGTAGTCAGTGCTAGTCAAAAACGCACGCAGGACATGAACCTGGAAAGCGCAGCTTACTATGCCATTGCTCGGGCTTTTGTGGCGGGAAACAAGCTCAACTTTGTGAGTGTCTGGGGCTTTCCAGCTCCTCTGTCTGGCACACCTTCTCTTGGAGAGGATTGGAGCTGCAAAACACACCCCAATGAGCCTCACGAGTCATTGCTGCTGGACAGGACACCGAAGCTTTGCTGGGGGACCTGGCAAAAGCACTCAATTTAGATGATGACACTTGCACGGTGCGTCTCTCTCTGGAAAATTTTTTCTGGCCTTCAGCTGACAGCAAACATGTAGCCCAGAGGTCCATGATGACCTTCCCATGCTGAATATCGCACCATGTGCACCGCATATGCATGCTGCATGGGAACGCATGGCACCA